TTGGAAGAGATGAATGAGAGTCCCTGCTTTACAAAGCACGTGGGCAGCTCTGACAATGAAGCAACACCACAGTTCATGCTTAGCCAGCTTCACTGGGGATTTTGTTTTTTTCTAAGCTGCTGGGGAAATCCAAAGGCCCTGCAACATCTACTTGTACATGACAGGTTTATCATTCTTGTTAACATGAAAGACTAGCGTAAATCCAGCTATCAACATGCAAAACCCTGGCCGGATCTGTCAACATCTGGGACCAGAAACATCTCTTAAATGCTGTTTTAAAATTATATCACAGTAACAAATGTAGTGATAATGAAATGCAGAGTCTGGTACCATCCAAACTTCAGCAGCTGTGGTATTTGCCATGGAGCTGAACTCCCAAGTTTAAGCTGCTGGTGCTAGAAAGTGTTTCTTGTAGCTAGACAAAGAAATTCATCAGAGAGAAGTTTATTCCTCTGTGTATGACCCTGGCTAAAACTGCCCAGTAACACCCCTAACTGTAGCGCTCTCTCCTGTGTTACTCCCATCTGTAACACACATTCAGCTGTTTTTTCTGTCCCAAGGGGAAGCCAAGGTGGTGGCTGCCATGGATTGTGGGGGCATCGCCAGGAGCACCGCTGCCTCCCCCTACAGTCACTGCAGACCCATCGATGCTGGTTTTCACAATACTCTGGAACGACGAACTAGTTTTCAAGCCATGGATGACTAACTCCCCCAATGGCCCATCACCACCAGTTAGGAGAGTGCTTTTCTGAAAGGTGTGAAGTCACCCACTATTTAAACATCTGAGCTTTCCACTTCTCCCATCTCATTTTCTCTCCTATTAATGAGATGTGAGGAGCTTCAGCTGTTCATTGAGGGGCTGGGAAGACCTTGACCAAATAGCCCTTTCCTTCCTGCTTGCCCATCAGTCTCCAGCCTCCTTGCACAGCACCTCAGGTGAAAGCCAAGGCCCATGAAAACTTCTGCTTTCACTCGCTCACATTTCAGTTTCACAATAAAACTCACATCCAGATCACTGCTCAGGAAAACCGTATCTTCCACCAGGGCAAGCCCTGCCACAGGCTACATTGTGCAGCCTCATTTAGGTCCCCAGAGAGGAACCAGCTCCTAAGCCTGGCCAAGCTCCTGCCCCCCAGCCAGCACTGACAGCACACACCAGCTGCATCCCAGCCAGTCTCATGCAGCCCTGCCAGGGCTTACCTTCTGGAATCCTCCAAAACTCATCTGGAATTGCGGGCGTGTGGGGAAAGGGAGAGGGAAGAAAAAAGAGATGCAAGCCCCTTGAGCTGCACAGAGCAGCTTGCTACCTAAAGGCATTTGACTGCCTCAGAAAGAAGAGGTAAGTTTAAGGAATCCACAGCCAAGAAGTTGTTTTGCCGAGTTTGAAATATCATTTTTATGCTTATCTCATGGAAAGCTGGAAATAACATCGGCCACACTTACAACCTGCTAAGGGGAAAAAATGTGTTGGGTAACAGCCAGTGCAACTGAAGGGAAATTTGCTGCAGAAAAAAACTTTATCAGAAAGCATCCTTCAGAAAAACAGATAAATACACATACCTCCACAGTGAAGCCAAACCCCTGCAATCTCCATGAAGGCTTGTGCAGCAACATACCTACAGATCCCCACCAGCTCATTACTGTTCCTTAGCTGGAGATGACAATTTCTGTAGGTCAGCCTCCAAAACAGCTGGTGTGAGCTCTCCCTAAGTTGGTGGAGTTTGCCCTAGTTTCCAGGGCAAACTCCACCAACAGCTGAGACTCCCTTCAGTGACAGGGAAAGCTGGATAGGTAAAGCTGCTATTTCTTCATAGAGGTTCACATAGCTTTACATATACTATCACTATTTTGGCTTCTCCCTCTGATCCCAAGTCAAAGAATCCGGAAGAATAAGGAATATTGTTCTGAAGTTGGGTGTTAAGAGCTGTGCATGGCCTCATCTCTGACCTGACCATGTGGAAGAATAACCCAGAGACCTCAATACTCCACAGATTCAGGTCCTAAATCTTTGATCCAGTCTTGAGTCCATTTGAAAGTGATGAAAGGGCTCCAAGGATGGAGTTGTGGCTCTAAAATTAAAGAAGCACTATGCTGAATATGCTATTTTGCCACCTTCTCCAGCTACAGCAGGGGCAGCTCTTCATTACAGCCCCCAGCCTGCTCCTGGCTGGTTGTCAGCATGCCCAGTGAAAACCCCTCCAAACTGCTGGTGCATTTCAAATAAATGGGTGCAATTAGCAAAGCTTTACAACTGCAGCTGAAGCAGTGGGGAAGGATCATACCAGCAATCAAGCAGGCAGATCAGAGGGAGACAAAGCTTCCAAGAGGTAATGATGAGCAGGTGGGAAGAAGTAACCATGTCAGCTGGAAGAGAAACAGGAACAGAGCCTTACATTCCCTCAAGCAAGCAATTCCACGGAGGGGCTGCAGGAGCAGCCCCCAGCCTCATGTTAGCACTTTATTTATAGCATTGCCTTCCTGTTCATAACCTTCCCAACTCTGAATTGCAATTTTTCTCCCCCCAGCATTATGGTGATGGTTTGGAACACGGAGATGTTTGGAAAGAGGCAATTTGGCATCAAGAGTCTAAAAAGCAGATACAGATGACATCCTAAATGTATCTTTTATGAGTTTGGAATGATTCCTTTAAATTAAGCTCAGAGTGTGTGACAGCTTCTGGTAGTGGCGCCAGTAAGGAAATAAAACATAAAAATCAAGAGGTTCTTGAGCATATGTAGCTTTCAAGATCTGGACACTTTGCTTTCCCGCATACCACTCTGAGCTGCGATGTACCAAGTGCTTCCCAAGGAAAGTGCTCCAATAATTTTCAATTGTCTCGTCACCACACATGCCCTCGAACCCCAACACACTTCCAAATTCAAGGCTTATAAAGAATTAAATGCTCCAATAATTCTAAATTATGTTTGTTCAGTGCTACTGGAGCCTGTCCATTCCTTCAGTTTGGGGATTTTTGTTTTGCTTGGGGGTGGGGGGAGTGGCAGGAAGAAATGCTTTCTATTAATGCTTCAAATTGGAAGCTGGTCAAACAGTATCATAGCAGAATGATTCAGCAGCCTCTGAGCTGATTCACATTGTATCATAAAACAGGATTAGGAAAACAACAATGCGTGGAAGAGAAAGAACTCACACAAAGAATCACGGCAGGAGAACAATACCAGAAAGGAAGAGAGGGAATAATCCTCACTTGGCTTCTGAGGAGCAGGTCAGATGACCTAATAGATGGCTTTCAATGCCCTTCATTCCCTGCTGAGTTGCAGGGTTTGGCTGCCCGGATCCAGCCACCACAGCTTAATAAATGGCTGTGCATCGACTGAACCACATTAAGTGTTTCGGTGTGCACACCCGCAGCCTATTGTCATTTATCTGAGACCACGGTCCCCCTCTGGCACAAGACCCAGATGCTATTTCACAGCAGGCAGGAGCTTATGCAGAACTAGCTGTGGAAGCTCATGACCATTTAGGACAGGAAGCCAAGGAAACAATCTTAGGCTGTGAGTCTGCCAGTTATGAACCAAAAAGTGGGGGTTTCTCAGTCTTACTCAAGAAGACACACACACACAAGGCAGCACATTAAAGTAGCAGAGAAGTCATGCTAAGTGTATTCCCTAGCACTGTCCTGAACATGAATGAAATTAAATGTTTATTTCATGATCTCCTGAATCACAGCATCAGCAACCACCTATGCCCAACGCCAAAATAGAAGAGGAAAGTATCATTTAAAATCTGTTCTCTGTGAACCTGAAGATCCTATTGACAACCTTGCTGTAAGTTAGGCCATACCTATTACAACTGCAGCCTTGGAGTGACAGAGGAAGACAGGGACTCTCTCAGGAGTTTTACTAGATCAGCAATGGTTGAATTACTTCCACACAGAACGTGAAATCACAGCTTCACACAACCGAGGAAAATCAGACAATTATATCACAATTCCAATAAAATAGCTATATCCAAAGTTTGGTAGGGAGACACAAAAACAGGGAGGAAAAAGAAAAATCTCCTATGTCATGGTCAACTTGCAGACTGAAAAAATGATAAACTGCATTCTTGTTTAACTCACTGCAGGATGCCTGGAATTTTATAGAAACTGCTGCAACGTGTCTCCCAGTGGGGAATAACTGAAGCATGATATAAGAAGTCAGCCATATCCTAACTTACAGTGGCAGGTGCTGTAAAAAGAAATGCACAATAAAGGCTTAATATATAGGAAGATAGCAAATAACTGCCTGGATTTCTGAAATAAGAAAGCATAAACCAAATCTCTAATCATGTCTAATCAAAGAAAACCATCAGTTGCTAAAAGCTTCTAGGAAAGAATGGGTATCAGAGAGATGATAGTAGGCATATCTTCTTCAGTAGTGTTTTGGGAATATTTTAGCCTGCAGAATTTAATTCCCTGTTATTACTTCTGAGCCTGGAGGTGAAAGTCATAAATCAGAACCATTCATAACATGCAATAATGGGGTGAAATACTCATAAGGAGAGTTACATGATTAAATCCTTTGGGATTGTGTGTAACACTTCCAGTCGTTGATGATAGCATTAAAAACTCTTCTGTTGGTACCATCTATTCTTCCCTAATTCCTATACTACGTTTTCATTATTTTCTCCCAACATCTCCAAGTTTTGCTGTCATATGGCATTCCTTCCACGATTCCTCCCTGCTGCCCTAAATATATGTTTAAAACAAAATCATAGGAAAGCATTCTATGCCTAAAAAGATGGGCAGGTTTAAAATTACACTATATTTACTTATAAGGGCTTTTAATACCAGAGGAGCTTTCCCAGGGAGTTTTGCTCTGTTTTCAGGACCCCCATTGTTTTTATAGAGAGCTATTTTTTCCCTTCTATATTTAGAAGGTGGCTACATTTTGAGTAATAAAGACTGCAATGCTATAAAATAAAATAACATTGTCCCCACCCTTCTTTTACTCTCCCATTTACTGAGTTAAAAAGAAAAAAAAATCCTAACCCATGATGTGTTAGAGCTTTGTTTTCTGAGTAACGAGACTAATCATGTTTCCTCTAGCTGGGGTCTCTGTCTTCTCTTCCTTTTCTTCTAGGTCCTCTGGATCCACACTGACATAGAAATATCCCATGATGGAGAAAATAATGCACACAGCAAAGAGGAGAACAGTGAACAAGACAAATTCAGCCCACTAGGAAAGAAAAAAGAACAGCAGGTCAGCAGGCCCCAGACTCTCAGTCCAGAGAATATCTCTGCACTTCCAAGTGCTTTTTAAAGAGCTGGGTGAAAATTACTTTTTAGTTTCCAAAATTGCTTACAAGATAGAAACTTTCTCATCCTGTTTTCTGGTAAACCCATGTACACATAATGTAATTATGAATATGTGACATACCTTAAAACAAACCAGTTAGATTGAGCTAATTTCATTAAATCTTTTCTTACAAATCTGTCCTGACTGGAGCATACCTGCCTGGGCTTTTTGCCCAAATGATGCCTTTGGGAGAGGCATTTTCATGTTAGCCAGAAACAAGCCCCAGTTCACACCTTCATGGCATCATCCCAGAAGTCTGATAGCCTGCACCAACCTCTGCACCACAAACTCCCCATGCAAGTCCAACATCTCAGGGGTGCCACAGGCAGCTGGCCCTGAAGGATCCCCAAGCTAGACACTTGAGGAGGCTGACTGCCCACTGGGCTAGCTGGATGAAGGCAAGCTGCTTTTGGTAAGCAACTGCAACATATGGCTGGCATCACATCCAGGCTCCAGGCCCAAATACAGCCTGCTTGCCCTGAGCTGAGCTCCAGCAACGATATCACAGTGCAGGTCACTATTATTTACTGCCACTGGGAGGCTTAGGGAAGGCCATTGTTCCAGAGGGTAACACTGCTGAGCTGAGGGCAATGCAGAGCCCTGGCTGGGATGCAGCTCGGTGCACGCTGCCATCACCCTGTTACAGGAACCTGGGGCTGTGCAGAGGAGCTGTGCCTCCGAGCCATGGACATCCAGAAGCACCAGAAGCCTGTTTTAAAGCATTACCTCTCTTTTAAGAGCCAAACCATACCTGTGCCATTGGTGCAGCCTGGGCAACAACGAGCACAAGGGTATTCCCAACGGCCACGGTGAGCAGCCAGCCTGCCTGCAGCACGGACTTCATGCTGGCTGGAGACTGAAAAGAGAAGGGCCTGATCAGTGGGTATCACGCTGTGCCTTTCTGCACTGGTTCAACCTGTGATGTCCTGCCCGGTGTAGATGTTACTGGGCTCAGCCTAGGAGGAGATGGTGGAATTTCCTCTGTGCAGAGTGGTTAATCTCTGTGGTTAATCTCAACAGCTGCATACAAGGAGCTTTCAAAATATGTCCTCCAGGAGGACACATGAAGGAGGAGATGCTGTTGTTGCAAAGCTGGATCCTGATCATCCTCAGCCTGCATCATCTGAAATTGTACAATCAGAAAGTCCAGAGAGCGACACAACAAGCCCTGCAATTTAGCGTCTGGGGCCATGTTGCTGTACACCTTTGGAAAAGA